ATGGCCATATGATGCCATCCCAAGTACAGATCCCATGTGTTTTAGTGCAGAAGGAAAGCATGTCTCCTCTTCCTGTCGCTTGGGGACATATTTGTCGCGTGATGAGCTCAAATTCGGGCTGACAACATAATTTTGAAGCGGAACTAGTAAAGAATTCGAAGTTTTGGCGGTATGCAAACGTGGAACAGGCAGAGTTATTATCAACACTTTGTGAAACACATCGTGTATCTAAATCGCTTCTGCCTCTTGCATCCCTGTACCAACTTTCATGAACGCTTTTTCGCACCCGCCCTCTGTTCGGCGCCGATGTTCGTCCATACTTGTGGCCTGTCACTGACAGCTGCGTAGCATGCTCATATTAATGGTAATTTAGGATGATAAACGTTGAGCTAAATGAACATTAACGGTAGTGCAAGACGTTTTTGCTGTTTCTGGAAAATGTAGTTCTGGTAGCCGCAGGGTCCTTTTTTTTGGGATGTAAGTCTAATAAAATCTGAATATTTCATACAAGTAATGTAGAAAGTTGCAGGGTATTTTGCAACAAAATTGTGAATCACTCATATTTCACGAATAGCGTTTTAGTGTGTATATTGGTGTCTAGCGCAATGCTTGCTGCGGAGGATCCTCTGGAAGCGCAGTCGCCTCGTAACACAGTAATTACTATAATTCACTTTTGCTTCTGCTTAGTTAGATTTCTGTTGTAAAGCTGCAAAACAACTCTTTATTTCTTCCTTATGTGCATTTTAACTGCAGATTCTCAACTACTTCGATTACTTCTTCACGACGGTTTTTACTGTTGAAATAACACTAAAGGTGGTTGTTTATGGATTGGTGTTCCATAAAGGCTCATTTTGTCGCAACGCTTTCAATCTATTGGATATTCTCGTTGTTGCTGTATCTCTCGTGTCTTTCGTTCTCAAATCTGATGCTATTTCTGTTGTTAAAATTCTTCGGGTTCTGCGGGTATTGAGGCCATTAAGGGCAATTAATCGAGCCAAGGGCCTTAAGGTTAGTTCCACAACTTCTTCAAAACAACAATTATCTGACTGCATGTTAAACTGAAGATTGGAAAACATACAGATATATAAAAGTTATAGCCTATTCTTCTTTGTCATATTGGTCTTTAGATATGAAGGATTTCTATCGTTGTAAAATCGAGTTTATTTAAAATTTACTGGAAGAATTTTTCGATTTTTTTTCGGCTTTCAAGAGAAGATGTTTGGTTTTTTTGCAGCACGTTGTACAGTGTGTTATTGTTGCGGTGAAAACTATTGGTAACATAATGCTGGTCACATTTATGCTCCAATTTATGTTTGCAATTATTGGCGTGCAGCTCTTCAAGGGCACTTTTTTCCGATGCACCGATGAATCGAAAATGACGGAGTATGAGTGCAGGTTAGCGCTTCCTTTACCCTTTCAAAAATTTCATTTGATCTTTCGCAGCTCGAAAGGACAGGGAAAGTGCCATACGTTTTATAATTAAATCTGCAAGGAAGCAGCTGCAGTAAAAATCGAATTTGTTATAAATTATCTAATGCCCTTCCAAATCGAGGCACACCTACAGAACCTTTAAACGCCTTTTAAATTCTACCATTACCAACTCACTTTTAGTGTATTTGTTTTTTTTAAATGTAAATTTTCTTTTATGGCTGTCAGTTTCACCAAAAGTTTTAAATGCCTCCAGCCAGTTTTCCATACGTAGGCTCGTTTCCAGTTTTAGAAACCTCTGTAGAGCTCATTTTTTAAACTGCAGTAAACTGCAGGGTAATCACAATGATTGACTTCGAAGTCGTAAATTCTTTCAACTAGCGGACGGGATATGCTTGTTTCTCAACATAATTATTCCGTTGTCAAATTAGCTGCATTTCAACTCACTATTTGATAATATTTCCAAAGTAAAATCGAATTTCAGAGGCGAGTTCCTGGCCTATGAAGACGGTGATCCGATGAAACCGCAGCGCATGAAGCGGGAGTGGATCAAAAATGACTTCAATTTTGATAATGTCGCTGATGCTATGGTTTCATTGTTTGTCGTATCTACTTTTGAGGGTTGGCCGGAGTACGTCTTTATGTAACTGTGCACATAAACCGGAAAAGCTAAGAAACTGTAGTTTTAAAATACAGTTTTTGATTATATATTACAGCAGAGCGAAAAAGGGGGAAAGGGAAGAATGGGGGAAGAGAGGAAAGATAAGAACCTGAATAGAGCTTTCATCTCCCCATATGACTCGACGAACTATATCAAGTTTAAATTTAAATTATTATCATTGCCCAAGAATAAGAAAGCCGCCCGAAATCTTAAAAATTCTACCTATGAAGAGAGTGAAAAAATCAACATTTTAGATTTTACCATGAATTGGCGTGCAATTTTTTTTTAAAGTTAGGCCATTTTCTTGATTAGAGCGAGCGAATGAGAGCTACAAATTTGAACTTTGAAGTTTTGTTTGCGGTTCACTTTAGAATAAATGACCTGAAATTAGTTTCCTAGTTCTGTAATATCCACAGTTGCAACTTGGCTTCCACGGTATGATTTACAAACACGTGTCTGACGTTATAGCCTCAGAATACATACTTCATGAACTCAACGTATTTCATGCGTCAAATAAGTTAAACAATCATACAAAGTGCAGCGGCCTTCCCACTGGCGTTTTAATTCACAATGCGTACCAAAATAATTTGTCTAGAGATATTGAAACTTTGTCCACTGCATTTTAAAACGATTCATCAGAAACGCTTGAACACGCGATTCTCTTGATGCGCATCGCTACTAATTTCTAGCTTCAGCAGTTGAGAATGCGCAATAATGGAAATAATCAAACAGAACATTTTTTATTAGTACTTTGCCATCTCATCATTTCACTTTAACGGGTAAAGTGCCTGATAAGCTCATAAGTCTTAATTCGAATGTTTATCAAGAAAGAAAGCTCTCTTGCCTCCCTCTGCCCTGCAATAGGATAAGGGAAAGAATGGGATCAAAATGAGTTAAAAAAGCACATAAGATTTTGAAGGGTTAAATTGAATGACAAGCTACGTTTATCTGGATGGGTGCAAAAGTGAGTCAAAGGATCGAAGAAGCGCTGAGAAGCGCTGAATTGCTCTAAAATGCAAATAGTTGGGTCTCTCGAGTGACCAGCTTCTTAAAAACTAACTGGCTGAAATGCGAATAAGCGCAGCGATGCAGGGTCTGTAAAGTGATTTGGTGACGAGGTAATAAATTCAATTATTTGAGAGCTATGGCTGTGCTACTTAACATCGCTTCTGTATTGCCATGCCACAACAATTAGCCCTCATGCCGAAGTTTTCCGAGAGCAACGTAGTCCAGTTTACGAACACTGCAGCTGAAATTTTCTGTTTCCCATATCAGTGTAGAAATTTTAGTTTGCTCTATGTGGCTATCAATTCGAATGAAGAAGATCATGGGCCAGTGTATAATGCTCGCCAGGCGGTGGCCATATTTTTCATCGCATTCATCGTTGTTATCGCATTCTTTATGATGAACATCTTTGTCGGTTTCGTCATCGTCACTTTTCAAAATGAAGGTGAAAGAGAATACGAAAACTGCGAGTTAGATAAAAATCAAGTAAGGCATCTCAGTTGTCAATTTTATACACTTCAGCTTAGTGCTATGACAGTAGGACACAAGATGTAACCGAACGAAACAACTTCGATTTGTTAATTCAATAAAAACACTTCCTTTTGTCACTGCGTCCGAGAGGTAAGACAAGTGTTTGCACACTTCATCAGCATTCATCAGCTGGCAAGGTTATCGGTGGATCTCGCTTCCGAAGGTTGCTTAAAAGCGAGCTGATAGCCATTTTTGACTTTCCGTACGGTCCAAGTGAAGCATTTCCCGCCTCGTTCATGCGCTCTATTGTAGTCAGCTTCTCTCAGCGCCTCCAAACTGAACACGTTTTGCACTTGCTAAGGCCAATATCAACGCCGTGATTAGCGCAGTTTTTATGCGTTTATTGCAACTATGCAATGCAGAAAACGGATTTTGACGAGGAGTTATCTCTGTGTGTGTGTGTGTCTGTATGTCTGTGTGTGTCTGTGTATCTGTGTGTGTCTGTATGTCTGTGTGTGTCTCTGTATTTGCATTTCTGTGTGTTTGTGCCTGTGTGTTCGTCTGTACCGATTTCTCATCTCGAGACTACAAAAGCTACGGGGCTGAAATTTCGGGAACTTAGTCTACATGCATGCACGGGCCCCCATCCCCAAAATGGGCGCTCTTACCCGCGTGCTACCCTCGTACGAGCCCGCCAAAGTTTTTTACGGGTGAGCTGCTAACTCGGGAACCAGAAATGCTGGGAGGCTGAAGTTTTAAGGGGACGTCCCCTGTCCAAATAGGTATTAATGAGCTCAAACCCAGTCCCCGGATAAGCGTGGTAACCACGTAAGGGCCCGCCAAAATTCTTCTCGAGTAAGTCGCTAACTCGGGAATCTGAGGAGCTAGAAGACTGAAATTTTGAAGGAATATTTCCTGACATTCCTGACGGCCAGTCTAAAATTCTTTTAGCTAGAAGCATCTGCCGGAAAAACCAGTGCCGTTAGCTACAAAAATCTTCGAGGAGCTATGCAAAAAACGCGTCTTCGCGCAAGTAGCCCGTGCGTTGGCCAATTATTTCAGTTTGAGATTTTGCAATACTAGCGATTTCATAAATTTGTTGAACCAGCGGCCACTTGATGTGCAATACCTGAGCTGAAAATTGTGGGGTATAATCGATGTAGACGCAACAATTCATTTCTTAGAAATCGCGCCATCTGCCTGCAGACAAAATTTGCTCTTCCAGCACTCTGTGGATTACTTCAACTCCAAACGAACTGATTCTTAGACTTGCTTCTGTGGGTGCAATTTTTGCAGCATCTAACACTTGCTTTTTACATCACTGTAATGTTTTTGATACGAA